GGCCCCCCTATGAAGCTGGAAACCTTGTTTTTGCAAAATAAATTGATGCAATTTGCTGTTATAGGCCTAATCAATAAATTCCTCATCAACCGATATAACCTTTAACATTCTTGGAATTGATATAACATTACTGATGTTGTACACACCCTTCAGCGTGAAATGTGGCTCTCTTTGCAAGCACATCTAACATCTAAGGAAAGAAGAGCTTAGATTGGTACCAGGTAAAATAATTTTGTTATCAACATTAATACATTATGCTAATCTTCATCTTTGTAGCGCATAAGACAGTGCAAATTATTTCTGTGACAGTCTTTTGAAGTGTGTAAAGCTCCATTTTATCACATACATAGTCAAAATATTGGGGGGGATGATACAATGGACCATCCCCCCTTGTCAAATTTTTGGGGGGATATATCCCCTCCATCCCCCTCGGGATCTACGCCTATGCTTTAAGCTGTTGGTCCTGTGTGTAATATGGCCCTGTGCATGTCAAAGAATGCAGTACATTCTCTCGGAAAAGAATAGGGGATTGTCTCCCGGTGTACTGCCAATTCACTACCAGAAGGACCCCACCAGAAACAAGTCTTCGGACTTTGTGAGCTATCCTTGGTGTGATTCACACCGAAATATTCCTATCCTATTCTAGTTTACTCGCATTCCAACCAACATTATTCAACATCAGGCAAGATATTTTATATCTTGCCACCTGTCAATAATGCGCCAATCAGCGCACCCGCCACCACCGCTGCCTTAAAATCTCCAAAGATGTGTGTACTTCTTCCTATTACATATTTAATTTGAAGCATTTAATAATCATATTTTACATTCACCAATACATTTTTTTTTCTCCTCCGTCTGGATGATATTGGCAAAACTATTTACTGAATAAGAAAACAAAATTTTATTTTTTATTTTTATCCCGCCCTCCTCCGATAATCTTCAAAAAACAAAAGTACGCAAAACAAAGAATAAAAAAAAATCTCACTTTACAATAGAAACACTCCGAAGTAGAAACGCATTTTTCTATTACCGAGTGTGACTGTGGCGATGTCACACGATTTTCATCCTCAATTTACCAACCTAGCTGAATGTGCCTATTATTGAATTCCCCTATTATGTTCTGTGTGAAATGTGGCAAGTATTGGTAACATTCATTCAAATAGGTCATGGCCTACAGTTTCCTCTTATTAATGTCTTTACCAGTAATAGGGACAGCCCTAGGCAAGTAGGAATTTCTGCGACTACTGTATGCAGTATTTCTGGTTTGTTGTTATATCATTATTACTGGGTGGCTGAATTTTTTTTGTTGGGCAAAGTTGAAGTGGTTGGATCATATGTAGCCTTTTGTACATTATTCACAGACTATGGATTTGTGATCTTGTTATTTTAAAACCAACTTTAGCAAAAAAGAATATTACAGACTGTAGTTACAAATACGGTCCACAGCACACAGTGGCAAATATTCCTGGGGGGGGGGGCATTGCACTATCAAACTATGCGTTGGTCATTTTAGATTACAACAGTTGAATTCCGGTGTCAATTTACAGAAACATAATCATACACTTTAATTTTAAATATGTCTGTGCGAGATTTGTTAAAAAATCTCAGTTAAATGTCATTTATTGGGTAAAAAAACAATCAACAATCTATCCATGCCTCAATAGGTTAAGGGCTCTCATCAGGGAGGGCTGGTTTTCCCCACTGTTGAGGAGAAACTACAATTCGCCTGGGAAAAAAATTATATGTATTTCATTTCTAGACTCTAAAATCGATTTAATAAGCCTTTGAAACCTCTCCACATAATTGTAGCCTTTTCGTGGCGTGGAAGATTGCGTGTCCACATGATCCTTTAAAGAGTTATGTCGGCGGGGCCTTGGCAAGCCCCTACCATGCTAAACATGTCTATAGGTGATGGGCCTGACAAATTACAGAAAATGTAAATTACGATATAAGACCCTGTTACCTCTGAATACTTGGTGAAGCTGATGGGCAGCAGGTCAGTGGATGCATTGTAACCCAGGGTGCATTAAAATATGTCACCTTCTGCTGAAAGTTACGAGGCAGCCAAGGAAGCTACAGTAGCAGTGCTTGCCAGTAAGGCTGGGACCACATGTTCAAGTAAGATGAACACTGCGTCGGCATTAATTTTGGCGATTCAATGCCGTAGGCAACTATTTGAAACCATGAATAGTTACTCAAAACGCACCATGTTCAATCCTGTGATTTACTTTCAAATCCATATTGATTTGTCTGATGGTCGAGTTCCAGCAATCCATGGTATCAATGACCCAAAGCCAAGAGGATGACCTTTGACTGATTATACAGTCAAGGAACACTTCTCCAAGATTTTGTGCTTCAAAATAATCTAGTAATTGGAAATACAAATGTCCAGAAACCCCAACACAGACTCTGGAAACACCAAGCTGGTCAACTCTCACAAATTGATTTCTGGAGAAATAGTATTCACAATTGCCAGGCCTATTCTTCAGCAGTTACAGTTGGTAGTGACCATAAGATGGTCACAAAGTCTGTTAAGCTCTGCCTCAGGGCACCCAGAAAGCATAGATCAAAACCTCGAAAAAAAAAACTTGAAAGCATTATCTTCAGATTAAACCCTCGCAGCTAAAGTCGACACAGCCATCATAAACTCATTTAAATCACTACCCGACAATGAACAGACTTGTACTTCATTTGTCAAATTTAAAGAATTGGCCAATAAAATGCTACCAAAAACACCAGCAAAGCCACCCTTTTTGATCAATAGTGCTCCTGTTGTATCTGCAAGAAAGGAAAATCTAGAGTATCTACAAGAGAGCAGTCAAAATACCAGAAAATACTAAGAAAACATTCAACAGGCTGAAGAAGACAGAATAAATAAAATACGGTTCTTTTGCACAACCAATGTCAGCCAATACTTAAAGTGTGCATGGCAACTTGTCAAGCAACTGTCAGAGAAGAGATCTCACAATGCATGCAATGTAGGAGATGATCAACTTTCAACATGGAAAACTCACTTTCAAAAATTACTTTCTGTGGAGACTTCAGTGGATGAAGAATGCACTATTGATCAGATATTCAATCTTATCATAAAATAAGTTCAGATGAATTTTCAGAGGCTAAAAGTATTCACTGCAAACTGCACTGTAAACAGATGAAATTCGGCAAAGCACCTGGCCATGATGGTCTGCCAATCGAAATACGGAAATACGGAAATTACCTTGTACTCAGAAGGCTCTTACTGCATATTGCAACCAAACACTCCATGGGTACAGACCGTTGGAATGGGGAATTTTAGGAATGGTTCAAATCCCAAAAAGAAAGGGAGATCCGGGGGTTATCTCCCGGGAAAATTTGTATTCCTAGAAGGGCGGGAAATGAGCTTTTCTGACTTTTGAAATGTGTTTTAATGACTTTTTGTTCTTCAAAATTCTAATTTTCTTTATTGTAACATAAAATAAATCAGCTCACGGGTCCTGAAAAGGTAGGTCTAGAATTCATTTTTTTCCTTTTTTTTTGTTGCCCAATTGAGGGGTCAGGACCCATGACCCCTCCCCCAGATCCGCCAATGTGAATTGCGAGAAAAAAAAAAGTATACGCATGCAACTACTCATTTATTTATGTAAAACAAACATAAGAAAGAAATGAGAAGAATTTTAATACCTGACTGTTTTCAAGAGGGGAAAACCTTGAATTTTGAAAAACTTAAAAAGACATTTCATAAGTCAGGAAAGCTCATTTCCCGCATTCTAGAAATCGAAATTTTCACGGGGGAACCCGGAAACCTTTTTTCTTTGGGATTCATTGATTCATTAAATCATTTTCAAGGTGGGGGGGGGGAACCTTGAATTTTGAAGAAGTAAAAAGTAATTAAAAGACAACCCAGAAGTCGGGAAAGCTCATTTCCTGCCTTCTCGGTATCAAAATTTTCCCGGGGGAAAACCCCCACCACCCTTTCTTTTTTGGGATTTATTGATTCATGGAAAAAACATAGTATGCAGCTACTCAATTTGTTTTGTATGTATACACACATAAGGCCTATCTGCTGTAATAACAATGGGGAAAATTGACTTGACCGTTTTCAAGAGGGAAAAACCTTGAATTTTGAAAAACTTAATTAAAGTCGCTAAAAGATACTTCAGAAGTCGGGAAAGCTCATTTCTCACCATTTAAAAATCAACATTTTCCCGGAGAGAACCTGAACCTCCCTTTTCTCTTTAAGTTCATTGATTCATCATAATAATTTTCAAGAGGGGAAAACCTTGAATTTTGAAGAACTTTAAAAGTAATTAAAAGACACCTCAGAAGTCGGAAAACTCATTTCCCATCATCAGGACCCCCGGATCCCCTTTCGTTTTTGGAAAAAAAATGTTGACCCCAGTGGCGTAACAGGCGGGGGCAGGAAAACAGACTGCCCCTCCGCCACCTGACGGTTTTGACTGGGCTGACCAAGCCATCGTACCGGGCTGGGTAAGAAGAGAAAGCATTTCTTTTTAAGGTAGGCTCCTCTAAAAATTGCACATTTTAGGGAGTTTTGATCAATTCCAACAAAATTAGAATTAAAAACATAACATTTTTCTTATAGTGTTTTTTAGGGTTAGCCTTCTAAGTTATTTAAACACATAGCCTAATAGTCTTAAACTCAAGAAAGAAAATTGAAGATAGATTGTTTTCCCTAAAAGAAGGGCCTAAACGTGAAATGATGGTGAAAGAATATGTTTGTAATAAATAAAGCCATAATGAAAATGCTTATATTCAGTTCCAAAAAAAAAAATTGTGTGGCACATAGGCCTAAGCCCTATACTCAAAAAAAAAAAAAAAAAAAAAAAAAAATTGTGTGCGCTTTGCATGCATTTTTGGGGGTGAGAACTTGTGCTTGTCCTCCTTTGCCTTCTAAGTTAATAACACATCCCATCTCAAATAGAAAGAACATTTAAGAGATTGTTTTACCAAAAAGAAGGGCCTCAATTATCGATGGTAAAAGAATATGTTTGTAATAAATAAAACCATGATGAAAATGCATATATAGTTTCAAACACATGTTATAAGATAGGGCCTATGTCGTATTGTTTTCTATACGGGGATGGGTTTGGGGGGTTGGGGTGGGTATGATAAATTACTAACCAGGAAAATTATTACCTTTCCTTCCCCTGACCCAATGTTACGCGCCTGGTTGACCCCCACCCCCTAGGTTTGATTACAGATCTATGTGATTCATATTCCCATTCCTCTTATAAGTTGGCCCCCAACTTTGAAAAACGTTCCGCCAGCCCTGCTTTTGGCAGTCTCGATCAACAAACGCACATATCCTAGCACTGAAGAGGATCACTAAGGTGGTAAAGAACCATCACAAAGTAACAGTCATTTTACTTTATCGATTTTTGTAAGGCTTTTGACTCTATCAATCGTAATATCGCTTTGCAGCATGGTGTGGTAAAAATCATTAAAAGTTTCACTGAACAAAAATAATGAGTAACAATAATGAATAACAACAATAAAAAATAAATATATAATGTTAATACATAATGTGAAAATACAGAATATAATTAACTTTTTTTTTAAAAATTATTGTTAAATATTTATTTCCTTAGTCGTATTTTTTATACTTACCTTTTTACTCTTTTTTCCATTTCTTTTTTACTGATAACATAAAATCAATAGAACTACAGTAATGACGGCCAACAACAAATACCTGCAGTTGAAAGTCCAGGCCCGTATTATGTTATAAAGTCTTAATATAATAATTTCGAATTATGATGAATTATTTTGGGCTCTGACTTAATTTAACGATGGCCCTATCAGTAGTAATGACAGTATTTGTGCTTTTTTTAGCCATGTAGTAAAATAGTACTATTATTATGAGAGTCAAGAAGAAGTAGTAGAAGAAGAAGAAGAGGAGGAAAAAGAATTGTTTTTTTTTTGTTTTATAATAATAGACGTGTTGAGTATATTGATATTGATTATGCGATGAGGTTTTTTTTATATCTTTCGGTGTGATTTAAACATGCCAATTCTCAGAAAATATTTTTATAATTTTATTATATTACCACCTTTTCATTACATAGATCTTTTTCAAAACATAGGCCCTGTCTCTTATACACATCTAGATGTGTATAAGAGACAGGTTTTCTACTGAACCCCCTCGAATTTTTGAATGAGTCCCACCCGTTTTTAAATTGTAGCCTGCATTACAAGCCTACATTCATAGGATATGTCAGCTTCAGAAGTTCGGAGATTTAAATTAAAACGCAATTCCTTT